GGAATTGTTAGATACACGTAGAACGGTGACGGAAACTGACGACTGCAACCAACACACAAGGAGAAATGTTTAGCCGCTTAGTCGGATTTACCTGGTTAGTTTTTAGGCAGTTTTCTCTTACATGTATAATGAGACAGGATTTCTACTGTCGGTTGTGTCCACTAACTGGCATACTTTACTCTTGGTAAAATGTAGCATTTGAGGTTTAGTCGAAGGGTTCAGACAAATGTAGGACAAGTTAGCGCCTGGTTAAATGAGCGCGCTAAGCCGCAGAACCCCCAACTTGAAAAAAACATGGTTCTTTTTCCAAACCTGTAGTCAAGTTAACAAGCAATACCATATATTATTTTAAGCTTGGTCACAGCGGATGATAAAAATGGTTTTTGTTAGACAAAGAGTTACAAGGAAGCCGCGTCCTCTTGAGGCATTTTATAAAACCAAGTCGCATTCTTTCTAAGGATTCCGATAGTACCGCAGAGAATACGTAGAAAGCAGTCACAGTGAATGCGACTCCTACCTCTGTGAGGAAATAGCCGTCATCTGAAAAGGACCTTTGCGACTGTACCTTGTGCCGACAGGACACAAACTACACATTATCGGGAGTACCGTTTGCGTATCCGGAACAAGTGAAATCATACGTTAAAATTCATGGCACTCACGTGCTTTGTGACCTCAACAGCAAGTTGACAAGGGTAATGTCTCTGACAGAGCGCTCGCACTAAGTACTAACCAAAAGCCACATATTTCATTTCCACCAGGAATTACGTTCCATCATGTCTTTTGCGGAAGTAATGAGGATTTTTTTGCTCAGAGCAGAGGAATCCAAGTAAGATTGAAAACAAATGCAAGACGGCGGCTAGCGAGATTCACATCGATACCACTAAAAGTATCATACGCCATGTAAAGCAAGCTGCTGAAAATGTGGATAACAGATCCAGAAAACTGACAACACAATTAAAGGGAATACACCACGTAGATTTTACAGCTTTTATCCACATTAACAAGATATCCTTGCTGTAGTGTGTGCTGGAAGCAGTCAATTCACAAAATTTGGATTTTTGATAGTTAAAATTGCACCAATTATAGATCAAACCTTCAAAAAATCAGCTGCGTTAAATCTGGGACGATAGGAACAAGAAGACTGAAAGAGAGTCCATTCAATTTTGCTATGGGTGAATAAGAGCAAACTACAGTATAGACATCAGTAAAAAACATTACAACATTCATTGTTGATATAGACAATGGGGTGGTGATCAACAACAATGCCAAAATACAGGATTTCCCGTGTGCTTGCAATGTACAGGGTTGTACATGTAAAGTTCTAGATAGGGCATGAGCATATGTAAAAGGGGATAAGCTAAAGATGTGTGACATAAAACCTGTCAAATTGGAATAAAATGCACAATTGTATGAAGGACTTCATACGGAGTTTCGTATTTGTACAATACAATAGACAAATTCACCTGTAAATCAAAATATAGGAGAGCTGGAAGACAAAATATGGCTTTGTGGACTTTAGGAATTTCACGCCGCTGTGGTAAAACAGAATCACAAATTAAGACAGAGAACGCTTAAGATAATGGCTAATACAAACGAAACATTGGGGCATTTATTGCACAGAAGTCTTACCATTATTGATCAATCTACGTCAAATCATGAGTACCAGACTCCATTTCTGATCGCAAGGATTTTTCATAGCCATTTCTTTTAGAATGGGAGGGTCCAGAGTCATCTGAGAGTAGACATTCTGGCGATTCATTATCAAAGTGTCGCTTTCGACCCTGGGTGCCGTTGGTAGATCTACGTTGTTTAGGTTTTCCTTCCGACGATGTAGAGCGAACTCGAGACCTCGATTCGTCGAGCGATTTCACGGGAGCTATATGTGCGACAAGAGGCCTCAGAAAAGCGAACCCTTCTTCATTATCTATAATTTCCTTTCTTTTATAAGTCAGAAAGTTACAAGTAACAACTTACAGGTAAGACGGCAAAATTGTCTTCGAATTTCTCGAAAGAGTGAGATCATAGGCTTTGGTCAAGAGTTGTTCTATAAACAATTCCAACGCCCTAGCTACACAGGTAAGATGAACAACAGCATTACAGACAACTGGTGGAACAGTAGCTGAGAGCTTTCCGATCTCGTCATCCAACTGCATTATCTTTTTAATGCGAGCCTATAACCACCGTAAAACAAGAAATAAGCACGAACAGTTGGGAATTTGGCAGTAAACTTTCGTTTTGTAGGCATGATCACACAAAACCAAATCAGTCGGAACCAGATCAATTCAGAAGAACAAGAGCTCATAATTTAGGACCCAGATTAAAGATATCACACGGCATAGTTTTGCATCAGTAGTTTCAAACGCTGCTACATTTTCCCTTATGCTTAATTATTAACATATAACACAATGCACTAAAATATCGAGTATAATTCGGTGAGGTGCTTTATGGCCACTTTAGCCGCATCATCATAACATAACACATTTTAAGTATGCCATGCATGGCAGTGCCAAATAAAAATGCTGTTTTGATATATTGCAAAGTTAACATGATTTATAACTTAGTAACTTAAGATAGATACCTTGGTAGTTTAACTAAGCAGTTGAATGCACATTAGGAAATAACAGACGAAAAATCCCTGAGATCACCAGAAATAAAAAATGAACAAAATGGGTGATAAAAGGAATCATGGGAGGATGCGAAAGCAGTAGCACACAGGTTAGGAGGAAATTTTTAGGGTTGCATATGCAGTGTCGGTTTTCGTGTCAAAGTTAGGGAATGTAGCTTATAAATACATTCAGATATTTTAGTTTCCCACTTTTTGACTTTTCTACAAGCAGGAAACATCAATCAAAATTTATCTTACTTATTCTTCTTACTGTCGATTAATTTACGTTCTTAAGTTGATTTAATTTGTTGTCTCAAAGACTCATAACTGTTTTTACACAAAATCAAGTGGAAAATTTTGCTATGTTTAACGTTTAATCGTGAATAAATTAACATAATGCCACATTGTTTGTGCATGTTTTTTTAAGAGGCAACTTTTTCAAATTTTATAGCAAGCACGTTTACCCAATCAGAACTCGGCTTAGTGGTGGTTTTTGCATTTCGAGCTGAGAGTTCTGTTGCCTTATCTCTCCCTTTCAACATAATGAATATGGCGTGCCAATCCAATCGTTTGAATTCGAAAAAACGTTATAGAAGTGAACAGGATGAAAGGCGTATTTTAAAAATATGGATCTCCCCTCTGACGACCCTATATTATTTTTCTCGCGAATGCGCTTCCCAATCAGCACAAGTCCTTCGGAATATTCTGAAATACAAACTCAGAGTCTCCTTTTTTATTTTGATTTGTATTCTAATTGGTTACCTTCGATCCATGGATGGTCCACATCGTGAGGTATCGACGTTCGTACTCCTTCATAGTTTTGTAGATGTTTGCCCTTATTGAGAAGAAAGCCGTATGGTATATTTGGTGGGTAGTTTTGGGTTTCTTGTCGTCATGTGGCTTTGGATTTGGTTTGCACACTTTTCTGTTATACCTCGTAAGTTTTCTGATACATAATTTATTCTGTGTAGGGACCTTTCATTGCGCAAGTAACAATGAGTGCCTATGTGTGTCGGTCCCTTAATTTTCCAGAGCCACCGTATCCAGATGAGATTGTTTGTCCAGAGAACGGAAATTCGGATGTGTCATTTTTTGATATTGTCCGCAAGGTTCAGTTGGAATCCATACTGTGGGTGAGTTTATCTTGTGTACGTATGATTTCTCAGTAGTAGAAGTTTCACTCTTGCGACGTCGTGGGTTGATGCCATGTTAAATGTTTTTATTTAATTAGCCATTTTCTTGTTAAGGGTTTTGGCACTGCAATAGGTGAGCTACCACCCTATATTATGGCTCGCGGTGCTCGACTTTCGTGCAACTTAAATGATGAAATAGAACTTTCTTTGAACAATGCATCATCTTCGTCTGAATTAGAAACAGATGTCAATCATTCTCCCGGTTCTGATCAAAAGCCCTCTGCTTATCAGCGCTTTGAATTACTCCTCCAACGCCTCGTTACACGTGTTGGCTTCTTTGGCATTCTACTGTGTGCTTCGGTTAGTTAATAGTAATTCCTAGTGGTCAAGTTTTGCTATTTTAACGAAAAGTAGGTGGATATATCGTATGGAAATAAATAGCTTATGTTTAAATCGAGCTTTGATTGAAACGCCGGATCCTTGGAAAGGATACAACTACGTCAAATTCCATAACGGTGTGTGAATCGTTACCTATGATCGATTTGCTTGTCAGTTGCTAGCTTAGCAGCAGTAGTAGTACCTTTTTTTTCCGAAACTCCCCTGTTCTTTAATGATTAATGCAAATGGTGAAATCCCACCCGAGTGGAAAATTTGTTTGTTCGTTGTTTATTTTGTCATGTAGGTGCCGAACCCCTTATTTGATCTTGCGGGAATGACTTGTGGGCACTTTCTGGTGCCATTCTCCACATTTTTCGGAGCCACATGCATCGGCAAGGCCCTCATTAAAACACATATCCAACAATTTGCTGTAATCGCCGCAAGTTCGGAGGACCATGTCGAAGCACTCGTCAACTTTATCGGGTTGGTTATATGTGCATATGTACACAAAAATGTCTTATTCCACGTTAGGTCGGAATGTTGGCATCCGAGCCGTTGCGGTTTGCTAAACCAAACATTTCGTTTCCTACGTCATCCATGCAAATTTGAGCTTTTGCAAAATCTCCCAGATGTAATATGGTCCTAATTATTTAAAAGACCGCAACTGAATGGAACAGTTTTACTACTCTTGAACAATGCAAACAATTTTTGTAAGGTCGTGTGGTCAACGTTATTTCATTTGTAACTGGAAATAATTAGGGTTCTTCTATATTTATACCAACCTGGATATTCATCCGCTCAAATTTTCGTTGTCACCCTCACATTACCACGTATTGGCTCGTAACGTAAGTTTATGTAGGAGTACGGGAATTAAGAAAGAAGTATAATGAAAAAGATATGCACAGAGGCGGTTCACGGAGCTCAGCTCTAGGAGTCGAAATTTTACGGTTCAGGTCAGAATTCGTTGACATCAACTTTAAACAAGTATGATGGGGATCCTGCGTTTGGTGCCATCGCAAAACTTAAAATGACCGTGTGTTGGTCGTATAGTCATAACTTTTAGCAGACTGGATGCTTGGATAACTTAAGGACAAGGAACCATATAATCTCATTTTTCCGGCTCCTTACAGTGACCGTTTGTCAAAAAATATAGCCGTTTGTAGGAAGCAGCTGATTTAGTGCATTGATAGGTTCTAAGTTGTAAGTGGATTGAAATTGAAACTACGGCAAATTCAACACGCTTGGTGGTTTTGGGTGCAGTAAGTCACTACGAAGAGAGAATTTCTCAAATCGAACGCTAAGGAGTTCCCATGCTATCTGTGAAACCGTTTGGCAACGATCGCAGCTTCACTTGAAATTACTTTTTAAATATACTAGCTGGCGCCAACACAACCTTGTTTTTTTAAACACGAATCGCCAAAGTTATATTGATTTCACGTCAAGTCTGTTTTTCGTGTTAACGGGCTAGTTAATAGTACACGCCTTATTTTATTACCTACACAAACTCCATTTTCTGTTCTATTGGCAAACCATAAGTACATGAACTTAACTTCCTAAGAGATCACACTTTGCAAAATGTGGTTAATCATGGTCTTCTTTTAGCTGTTAGTGGACTTTGTGTAATATCTTGAGCTTAGTTCCTCTTACCTTGAACTTACTCAACCGTGTCTGTGCTGTCACGCCTTTATGATCTCTTTGTTCTCGCACTGTCGTGTGTCTGGCTCTGTGCCTGCGAACCGGTGTCTGTGATATAGCCTTTGGCCCTCTTCTAAATGTCTGGTCGACCCACAACAAGGGTCGAGAGTCTTTATCGCTTTCAAGCCCGGCGGAAAGTGATCAGTTACTTACGCTATGGTAAAAACCCCTGTTCGCAACCTGTTCCATGAAAGTAGGAGGATTTTGGATGTACAGAAATATCTCACATGCGCCCTATTCGGACACCATCATGCAAAATGGTGGTAGTGTTCGTCTTACCCTTTTCCCTTGAGCTGATTTCCTCTCTTTCTCTCCAAGGCATTAACTGAGCTCCTCAAAGTTGCGTTTCTTTTTCAAGGGAATATGCTCAAGTTAATGTGGAGCTGTTCCATTTGAGTCATTGTAGCGTGCGCTGCTGCTCCCGCAGACAATTAGCAGTTACCGCTTGTGGCAGATTGACCATCAAATACACTCACAATCCATCAGTTAAGAAGTTCTAAAATTACAAATCTTCTTCATTAAATATTTGTGATGTAAGGTATTAGAAGTTAAGGAGACGTTACTGATTTCGTTCACACCTACCTAGATGATCTGGCGATAAGTACCGAATCTTTAGCTTCATCCCGACACCTATTTCTCCTGATTGTCTCACAATTATGAATTCTTAGCACCAACTTTCGTCACCATTTTTGTTCAACGTGAATTCACTCCCTTAAACTCCACGCTTTTGCTCCCCGTCTGTCCCCGTGTGTGTTAACCTTGTAGGACCTGCATCTGGAGGCCTAATAAACGTTCTTCATCTGTTCTGATTTTCACCGCAGTTATAATAGTTCTGTGGCGATTTGAATCATGCTGTAAATATACCAGCTTGTTTATCTTTCCGCCCACGCGTTTATCTGGCCTTCAAGTAGAACAATTGATGCCCTTTGGACATCCGATAAGCGCACTCTTCTGTGGTCTGTATACACTCGTCAAAACCACCATACCTAACGCACTTTCTTGCTTAATGTATCGGCTGAGCCTCATGCTAGTTGGATTTAATCCACTTTCAAGTGGATACCAGCCTAATTTTGTATAAGGGATGTTAATTCAGTCATCTTGTCGAAGCATGACGATGATTCAACTACGGTCGTCCTCTACGAGTAAGGCTTCTTGGTTGAAAAGCCATATTTCAGGGCGATACGAATGCATCTGCAATTTAGGGAAACCCATTGCTTCCGTATGAACTACTCATGTACATTGTAGGAATAAAGAAGAATCAGATGATCGAAAAGCAGGTTTCGACTTCGGTCAGGCCTTTGGCTTTGAAAAAAAAAACATTGAGATGTGTACGCAATTTATAGGTAAAGGTCGGCTTGTTACCAAATTATACAAATAAATATGCAGCATCAATTTGTCAGGCGGTCAGCATGGGTTGTCTTTGTTATCACTCGAGACGTTTTGAGTTAGAGGTCATGTGCGTGTTGTTTTGGTTTTGGAAAAGCAGTAATTTACAAATTGCTTTTAATTTAATGTGGGAAATTTCAATGAAGCCCTTGTCTGACGCAGACGTAGACACATTTTTTTTGGAAATTGTGTCCAATTGCACGGCAACCAGCCAACATCCTATAAAAGGGCCAATTTATTTTTCTGGTAAATGAGTTACTTTACAAATTATCTTGTCCCTCCGCACAAGTGACTTGGCTAATTCATGTAAAAACTCGTTGGATATCGTGCGTGCTGTCGTGTAGTAAACCCTTGTTAACTGGATTGAAATTTAACCACCAGTCTCTTTGAGTTTGTGCATCTCTTGGTACTTCCAGGAACAATGGCGCCAATTAATTCACTCTTTGCTGGAGTTAAAAAGGGTCAGGCAAATGTCCACATTTGAGTCATTAAGTTAATTAAAAACGTCGCATTAGCTTCCAACCCTGCATTTTGTATTTTTTTCATGTGATTTGAGAGCAGTATTACTCCCAATTACCAGTCTGTGTTGTTCAAATCCAGCTGTTACATCTCAATCTGAATGGACTAATTTATTTGCAAATGGGTGTAATTATCTTTTTCAGAAAAATTCCTTTGGTCGGAGCCAGTTTACGACGACCGCTTATGAACTATCTTCAATACCAAAAGGATAAACTCCAACAGAAGACTGTCCAGTCGGTATGTATTTTATTGAAAACTTGGGGCCGGGTTTTAGTTTTTGGTGCTTCAGTATTGCTTCCGTGTTCAATAAATTGCGATTGCCTTGCCTAATTCTGGTGACTTTTCGTCTCAGATAAGCTTAAGTCTTGTGAAGAAGCCCCGAAATTCGGTTCCCGAGCCCACGTAGATGTGCATAGCGACGGATTCTGGTGGTTGACTAATTGAGCTTGAGGAGGCAGACGCATAAGGCAGGTTGTCCACACGTGTTTCCATGTGCCAAAAAGAAAGTGAACTGTCTGACTAAGTGAAGACAGTGTTGACGGACGTGATTTAACTATTGGATATAAGCCGTTTAAAATCCCGCTCTGGTGTTGTTAAGGTCTTGTGAAGACAGCCAGTACACTAAACCCCTTCCCACCAGTTAACTATGCTCTAAAATAGGTGGTTTTTGTGATGTACTTGATGGAGTTTCGACTGTAGTCTGTGTTTAAGGCGGCAAAATACCGTTTTCAGATGCTGTAAAATTTTACTGTTTTGGTTTGTACCCCCATAAGATTTTGGTCAAAGATGCTGTTTCGGCTCATTTGATAAAATCTGTCGACTTTCTGTGTTGATCCTATTCGCTAGTCCGCCTGAGGAGGGGCGCGCACACCTTCCGGAAAGTGTTTGGAGTTTTTTTGCTTGATTACTTTAACTTCTCCCAACTAAAGTTTTTAAATCTCTTAAATCTGTCTGGACAATACGTTTTTTATTTCCCGAAGCAGTTACAACCGGTATATTTTAACCAACACTGTCTTAAGGTTTTTCAAACTATTTCAATGAGTTATTGCTTCCGATTAGGAAAATTTTCTGTTTGTGACAGCCTGCTGACCAAGTTGCTGTGCACAGCACGCTGGATTTAAGGCCCAAAGGAATTAATAACTTATGCCCAAAATGAACCTTGTCAAACCTAACAGCGGCTGCTACATTCGTGGATTCAATCTTGTGAATCTGAATGATGTCAATCCTGATTTGATTGTTTCATATTATGGCCGAAGTATCCACTGCAGTGATGGAGGTGATTAACGCGTCATTATCCTTTTTTAGAGTGGAAGTTGGTTTCAGTTTATTGTTAACTTTATCGTCACAATGGGCATGATTAGTTTCATTGTCTCGATAATCAACGCAATGGCTCAAACCAACCACAAGAAAACTTGTCGCCAGCATAAAGGACAGCATCAGAACCAACGACGGCAGACGAAGAAGAATGGCCCATCGACGAATTTGGGTGGAGGCTCAAAAAAAAACTGTGTTCGCGAGAAAGCGGATTAAGCGGCTAAACATTTCTCCTTGTGTGTTGGTTGCAGTCGTCAGTTTCCGTCACCGTTCTACGTGTATCTAACAATTCCTATTCAATGTAACTGGACTGACTCCCAACACGTGTTTGTGATTTTTTTACCCATGTGTGATAACCTGTTTGGTATGTAAATGGATGTTTCGATGGCAAAAGTCACCAAGATGGTGGCCCCCGCCACGAGTTTTAACTTTGGAATAGTATAAGAAGCTGGTTCGCTGGGTTCTCTTCGTAATCGTAAGTTTAGTTTAATTGGTCTCGTAGCCATGGGGCGGTTTAGCGTCCATGACACTTTAGTTGGTGTATGTGGCGTGGACAGAAGTCTGTTGTATCCACCAAGGTCATTTAGGTGTAGGCGTGTTGAAATCAAATATTCCATGATTCAGTGACTGTTCACGCTGGTGAATTGCACGAAATTCATGTCAAGGAATACGGTGTGGCAGTGAGGTGGACACTTGCGGTGCCGAAGCACCGTGGCCATCCCCGAAGTGATTGTGGCCGCGTTGCGACTACATGCTTTTGGTTGTCGACAGGTGGTTGACGCCGTCGACTCGCCGGTGCAAGCTGAGCTAGCGTTTAATGCGAAAGAGGAGTTCGTTGAGGTGTATTGCACCACTGTCCGCATTTAGGTGCTTGTGTGATTGACAGGCGAGCGCGCGAAATCGGAAGGACTAATGAACCCGGCAGAGACGAAGACAGGCTTGCCCATTGGCGATGTGGTGAAAGTCATGTACCTTTGCAAACCTGATTGTGTCTACGGTAATTGGGTCGTTTGGAAAGTTGTAAAGAATTGCAATGTGTTGTTGTTGTTAGGTGGAATGTCACATTGTGGATAAGGTGCGTAAGAAGCATTGGATGCCGCACCTATATCGATGGCGGTGATGCCCCCAGTGTGCCGGGGGTCAATGCTTCTGCATACCTTGATGCCCTTGTTGTTTGGAATCATCAGTTTTGGAGCGAAAGCTGAGAACACGGGTTCCGCATTTTTTCTGCTGCAGTCAAAGTGAGGAAGGCTCGCTGGATCCAACGCGGGAATTGCGTTGGTGATTAGTTTTGAGATGCCAGGGAGTCCAACGGGAGGCTGTTTGAAAGAACTAGACAGGGTGCACTGTAGGTGTAGTGGATCGTGTTAAATCGCCTCTGTCAGCCCTGCCTGCGCACTTTCCGACACCTGAATTTCTTCTTGTCAGTGTCCCCACCGCACATGGAAAACGCATGATTGAGCTCCATTGGTTAGGCACAAGTGGCAGTCGTGTTCCTGCTGTGCATTTCTGCGACTTACACGACCGTGTATGCACGACGCAATCGACGAAGACCACTGCTCATGTGGGCTGTAGCCCTCTGGCTTCCAGCCTGCGTACATTGTGCTGTACACCATGCCACAGTAAAATGTACGATTTCCCCACCAATGCCCAGTTGACAATCCTGCATGTAACTGTCTATGGTGAGGGATTGGGCAGGTCGGAAAGTGGCCAGTTCCCATCTCCAAATCGCTGTCGAAGAAATGCTGTGACTTGTTGAGCTCTAAATAATCGACATGGTTAAAAAACCACTGTTGTCATATTCCACCGCATAGTTGTTGGTGTGGTGCGGTTTCAAAGAAGTTGCCCACAATGGAGAGTTGAATCTCAGCAAGACATTCGCCAGTGGATATGGTCGTGTGTAGCTTCGTGGGCAGAACAGGGATTCGCTTTAGAAATGTCCGATGTTGATTAATCAACTTGACATCGACCTGCAACAGGGTGCCACAAGACCGCATTGCATGAAGGATTACCCAATGAAACACCAGGGCTTTGCTGCAGAACTCCTGACAAGCACAGATGTTGCTTTGTCGGCTACCAACTTATTGTTCAGTGAATAATTTCTGAGCTCATTGTTCTTCAAGCGACAGCCCTCAGACCGTGATTCGGAAGGATATCTTCCCTTGAATCGACCCTCATTTTGTGACATTAACTTATGCGTGTGTGAAATTCCAATTTGTAAGAGCCTACTATGCCCTTACAAGTGAGGGCATTTACGACTGCAGGAGTCCTTATTGTGCCGATACTTTGAGTTGTGTGGTTTCTAATCCAACTTCGTCAGGGATTGTAAGTAGACTTGATGGCTCTGTTTAGAACAGTTCCATGTAGTGATCAGCGTTG